TATCTTTTATTTTTTTTATAAGTGGATTTAAATTTTGGTAAAGCATCGTTCTATTTGCAAAAAAATTTAATAGGGCTCTGTAACAGCATGCACCTAATCAAAATTTTACTAAAAGTTTTAAATTTTTTAGACTTAATTCGCTAAATTGTAACATGGTGCATTTTTAGCTAAACAATATTCTTAATTGAGGATGCCCCTTTAATTATGATCTCTAATTGTTTTCAGTGGCACTGGTTGCTGATTGATTTACCTGACTTGATGACTAACCTCATCTCTCAGTCGTACCAATCTCTTGAGTTTCTCTCCGTCTGTGGCTCTTGTAAGATAAGAAGTATCGCCACTGTACGTGACTTCATCACCTCTCCTGGGGACCTGCCTTCATCGTGGCAGCCACCTCCTTCTGTTCCTCCCTTGAATATTTATGTAAGTTATATTAATTTAGTATTTTAATATAATATTTAATAATTGGTGATTTCTTTTTTCATTAGGTGGTCAATTCTAATCTCTTTTCATCATCTGTACCTCATGCTCCTCAAACTAAAAGTAAAAAACTTTAAATTTAATTATTATAATAATTATGATAATAAAAGGTGAGGCTGCTTCAATGCATATTGCTTTTGGTGAGAAGATTGCCATACCCAGTCATGTGGCACGGACTGTAAGCAAAAATAATATTAAGTATTTATTATAATCAGAAATTTGGGTTGATTTTAGCAACCGTGCAGCATAATAATTGCACTTTTGTATTTGTAGCAACAAAGAAAAGTTGAGGCTTCTAAGCAACAGACACACTCACTACCCACAGGTTCTAAGGCTAACTCAAGAGCAGCTGCACTACGACCTGTCACCTTAAAACCAACGGACAATATTTGCATAGACTCAACCGTAAAGGAAAAAGAACTTAATTCACAAGCTAGTCATTTTGCTTACGTGTCACCACCTCATTCTACAGCATCATCGAATAAGACCCACTCCAATTCTCAAGAGACTGATTCTCGGAAGACTCAGTCTCATTCTCGAGAGGCTCATTCTCATTCTGAAGAGACTCATTCCCATTTTCAAGCACCTGAAAAAGTTTCACATATTCAGACTCCAACTGTTCATTCTGGTACCAGAGAGCGTAAATCTATAAATCTTGAAGAGGACTTCCTCTCACTGTCTGCCATCAATGGAGGCTCACCAAGAAGAGATCTTCTTGCTAATAACGAAGTAAGTCCTACTATTATAGCATAAATGGACATAATTACAAGAACAGTTGTTTACCACAAGATTCATATATAAGTCTTGAGCCCCTTACATTGGCAGTGC